ACGTAGACTCCGGGACGTTAGTGTAGATTACCGATGGTACGCTATGGGTAGTTCGGATTGGTGTCATCCGCCCAGCTGGCCCTCCTACAATTGGTGGATGCTGTGGAAGTACGGCTTCGCCTTCTGCATTTACTTTCGGCCCAGTGGCTCTCCCATGGAGGCCACAGTGACAATCAAATCCGCTACTGGATGCCGTCAATCATATACTGGCTATCCAGTGATCTGTCTTTTGAAAGGAGTGAATTGATTTTTGTGGTTTACATGTTGTTGCCCACACAGTAGGTGCTTGCTGTTGTGTTGAATTTCCATATTGCTCTGCTGCGGCGTCAGAACCGCTTATCCCGAAATTCTTTAGCTCATCGACAGGTATCCGATTTTTGGCCATTGCACACTAAATGAGCAAGGAGTCCGTCTCGATGGCGCGTTGCTGAACATCCATCTTTTTGGGATGAGAACACGAGTGGGTGAGACAACCATACAGATTCTGTTGTTTGCTGACGACTGCGCATCGGGTGCACACAACGAGGACAGGTTGCAATGCATGGCGACTGCTCTTGCTTCGGCGAAGGCCAAGTTCGGGTTCAAGATCAACACCACAAGGAATGGAATTCGTGGGCTGCCCACAAATCCAAATTGATTTTGAGGAATAATAAAAAAAATTCTACCTTAGCAGCACGCTGTCAACAAGCTTACAAAAGACCAGCGAGCTGAAAACCCGCGTGTGCGGCCTCCAAGAAGCTATAAAACCGGTTGTGGAAAAAATATCGGCTTACTTAATTTTGAAGCCAAATTCATGGCATGCAAGTTTTTGATGCTGGTGGTTCCCTTCTATGACAGTGACATGGATGTTCCCCAAGAGGTCCATCCGCTTTCTGGAACGATCACACTAGCAATACCTGCATCGGAATCTGTGCACAGAATTCCTGACGGAAGTGCAGCATGTACGGAATGGATTGTACGCATAATAAATGCATAAAACATAACCGCCACATGGACTTGACCAGGCTACGGTAACACTTGCTATAAGCCCAAATTAGAACAGAGAAGCAGAATGTGAGCAAAACGAATCCACGTTACCAGGCCAGATAAAATTGAGGTTATCACGAACAAATGTTGACTTTAGGTGTTGGGAAGCAATGGCAGTGGATCTCCGCCAATGGTGTGACAACATCAAGGATACCGTTGCCAGGTTGGTGAAAAAGTGCTTTTGTGCCAAGAGGAAAAACGCCCGTCAGGAAAGCGGCACGCACCGATAGAGGTAACACCTGGGGCTATTGCACGTGGTAGTGTGGGCCGCAACCAAACCGGTCTGGTCAGTCAGAAACGCAGTCACGACGGGCCAAAATCCAAGGAGCGACGGGAAGGTTAGATGTGTAAGTGTCAGTCGTGGGTAAGTACGCTGCCTATGATTCCAATTACACACCTAAACCAATAATGCTGCACGTTTACCACATCAACGCTGTCATTGGCAGGTACGTGTACATTCTAAGCGGTAAATAATTACACCGGCCTGGTCGCGTTCGGTGTGAGTATTGGCAAGGTGCTTACCTGCCGAAAACCGACACCTCAATTACTGGATTTAGCAGACTTTAAATTTTGCTGATGGTGCATAGTCTTCGCGATGTGCTAAGCTAGGAGAGTGGTCTAAGTGTGGAAAGAACTGCAGCTATCGTCGCCGTGTGTACGTCTGTTCGGCGAATATATGAAGTGCATGTTGAAAAGGTGGGCCGGCTCCGAATTAATAGTGGCGCACATCTACATGCGTTGCAGTTGTCTTCAGACGTACGCAGAATGTGGTGCAGCACAAGCCACTTATAGCCCATGACATTAAGCGCGTGCCTTGTGGCTGTTCGCAGCCTCAGTGACAAGTAAATGCGGAAGTACATACCGTCAACCTTAGATATTCCTGTGTGTGATCGCTGATGTTGATGTACCACATAGTATGCTCCCTCATCACAGGTTTCTTTTTTTCACCCTGGATAACAAGTATTTCACTTTAATTGATTTGCTCACTTCTTATACCCTGCTGCGTATTCTGGCGTGTTTATTTTCCTTCAAATTCTGTGTCGATTGTTTCATGTCCCCAGTGTGGCTGCGCTTGATATGAGTGCATACAAGGTGCCTACCTGTAGGAAAACCGTAACTTCGATAATACGGGCTCCAGGAGACAGTTGGTTGTAGCTTGCGGAGACGGAGTGCAGGGTTCTTGTGCTAGTCTCAAAAGCTAGAATAACGCCATCAACTTCTTGCAGCGCAAATTAGGAAGTGTGATGTGCTTCACCTGAAACGATCGACGCAATTTAAAAGGATTGGCTTTGTACACTGAAATCGCATCACTATCCGGACAGAAATGAGGGACCCAATAAGGTACGTTGACAAGTGTACAATGAACGAAGGTAAGATATCACCGGAGGGCCATTTAAACTCGTCGCCTAAAAGATCTCGTTGTCCGCGGATATTCGGATGGCCGACAGAAGTCAGCCATCAAGATGAAACATATAATATCGAGCTAATGAAGTGAGATTGGCAGAGTATGACGCAGGTGCCAACGACTGCGTGCCACAGGAGTATAACGGCCTACCTGGTGTAACATTGACTGTAATGTATTGGTTGCGCATCCGAGAAAAAGCAAACAGGGTCGGCAGTACACCGGTGGCACATACTGATGATTTGTTACAACGCAGTCGTATAAGGGCTAGGGATACTTCAAAGTCGTTCGCAAGAACGGGCGATCTGCGAAGTACAAGCCAGATGCATGCAGCAATTGACCACCGGCCGTCCGCAGGTTAAGACGAATATGTGCGTTCAGAAGCGATAGCGACGTCTGAGTGGGTAAATGTAATTAATTGAGTTCAAGGAGTTGATGGCCCTCAACAGCTGACGTAAGCAAGGCAAAACGAGTGATGGGAGTGAAACGGACAGTAGGTGCATAGTTAAGTTAGGTAAGAAAGAAAACATATAACATGTTGGACCGACAGCAGGAATGGTGAGAAAACACCCGGTGAGTGGAAAGTTGGTAAACTGATAGCAGGTGACCTCACAAGGGACGCAGTAAAACCTGTAAAATGCGTGTGAAACACAGAAATTTACATTTGGTCAAGTCAACCCATATTCGTTCAGCATTCGGAATTTCCACATATATTGCTCCGACCAAAGCCTAGGGATAATGGAAGAAACCGGGGCAGTGAAGCGGCTTCCCGTGACCGTGGAAACTGTCTGAAGGACTGAAAACCTTTGATAAATCTGCACAAGCTCAAACTCGGACATCAAGATATCTTTAAAATGCATAACGTCTGAATACAACAAGCTCAGATGCTGCAGATTAGTTTCAGAGAAAGTACAGGATTGAAGAAAATCCAAAAGGATGTCAATGCATTGCACAAAGTCCCACATAATGGCAGAGAGAGAATCGATGGCATCGAAACAACATTCCTGAGCACTACCGAGTAACAACTTGAGCGAGTTTCGATACGAATCTTGATTCATTGACCGCAAAAAGACGGGATTTGCGGGAAATGTAAGAGCTACTTGGTTGTAAATACGACGGAAATGCAAGCACGACTGAACCGCGTAATCCACGCCTGCGCTCCAGAGGTCAGTGCAACTGCTGACGGCGTCCAGTTTGTGTGCAAGATCCATAGATGATGAAGAAGCGAAGATAGAGTCCAAAAATCAACGTCACAGAGGCGAAGATCATAAACGCAATTCCCGAATATCACCGAAAGCAGAGATCTGCAGTGCGACATGAATTAACGCAGGTAACTACCTTAACCAGTTAGGAAGCGAGCAATACACCCGATAGAAATAGCGCCGGTGGCGGAGATTTTGACGGTAAAGCAAGACTGTCTCAGAAAATACAATATCCCTAAAAACGAATGAGTCTATTTAGAACTAGACAAGAGAGGAGACAAAAAATTAACCACCAAAGCCAACAGACGCAGCCAAGTAGAAACGAGGGGGGCGATAAGAAGCATGATGATAGAAAAGTGAGCAATTTACCAGTCAGGAGCTACTTAGTGGCTAATCAAAGCTTATTTGAGTGCAAGAAATTTGGGAAACAAACTAGAATATTACGACAGCCTATGTGAAGCCATAGGTTAGTAAGCTGGAGACTTTCATGCTGGACCACGAGAATACAGCCAATAAAAATGAAGACAAGATCTACTAAGTCAGTTGATTCAATGCAATTGTCCGGATGCATTCGAAAGTAGCAGTAACCGTCAGAAACAAATAGCATTCATGAACAGCAACTAGGTATAATTGAAGTTCACGCACACAGGGGAAAACATGGAATAATTGAGACCGGGTTATTGTTAGTCACAATGCAAAAACAAGGTGCCTAGAGTTTCCGTATGCCCACAACTGAGCGAAACCCATGGAAGTGGGCGTAAGAAATCAATGCAAAAACTGAAAACAGACACAATATAGGCACCTTAATGGGTAAGCAAGAGGCAAATTAGGACACAAGAAAAAGGGCTCGGACAGAGTATGTAAAAATTAGGAAGAGAAAATTCCGTAAGATTAAAGAACGGAAGGAAATTACAAGTAGATGAAACCCTGGCCGAGTTTGCACGCAGCTATGGATACACTTGCACATAACCAATGGTCGATGAACATTTCAACGAAGTGGTAGAAAAACAGCATTTAATAAACGGGGAAAGGAAAAGTAAGGTAGGATGAAGCGCACCCCAGTAAGTGAAGGAAAACAAGCGGATCGGATATGTACAGAACAGTGTGCATTTACAAACAGAGAAGCCAGAGTAGTGAGCATCACAAACAAATCGAGGTCGCAATGAAACGATGCAGCGTGTTGCGTGGCCGATAGCTCCAAGCACAGCAGGTACAAAGCGAATGCACGATAAGAGATATTTGAGAATGGACTTTTGAGACTAGTGTCAGGCTTCTGAGTCAAGAAGATGTGCCATAAACGTGGTGCGAGTGAATAAGGAGAATGGAACTGTCAGCCAATAAGGGGTCATTGGATGACTGAGAGGGCATGTTCAGCTGCGGTAACTGTTGTGGATAACCGGGGAAGATTCGTGTGAAGGCGCTTGAACAACTGGTTCCGACTTAGTCCGCCGGCGAGATATATTGACGAAAAATCCATCAGGAGGTTGAAACTGAGAAGCGGAACATCGGATAGACAAGTTGATTAACAGTAGTCAACAGATGAAAAAGGGGAACAAAAAACTGAAAACAAATGAGGAAAAAACGAAAGGAATGCGGCGAATTGAAAGCATTTGGACAGGGTCTACAGTAGTTTTATGTGAAGTTAATAGGAATCAGTTGCAGAGGTAAACAGTATTCCGGTGCGCGTGTCAAACAAGCCATTCAAAGTCCCATGAATGTGCACATGAGGAATATCGAGAATCAGTAGAAAAGCATCGAAGATGCGCATGCGGAACTCACGTTAGCTCTAAAGTCTTGCAGTGTTCGATACTTGTTGTCTAATAAATATTTCAGCCTATCGTCAATTTTGACTTTAGACCCACTATAGTGAAGATAGGCCCAGAATTTTTCCAAACCATACAAGTGCCCTTCTTCGTAGTCACGAAGCGCTTCATCCTGAAAAGTGAACCAGTTTGAGACAATCAGCGCGATACAAAGAATAGCAGCATATTGCGAAAAGTTATGCGCTAAAGCATAATGAATCATCTAATCGAACGGTTCGGATAAAATTCACATACAAAACAGAGCTAATTTGCAAATTAAGAAAAATGAATACTATATCACAGAAATAGAACAGGAGATACGGTGGTGCCTTCCAGTTGAATATGAAGCAAAGTGGGTCAATCGCTTGGTAGATCGCGGACGGTGTAAAGCAGTAATCGGTGGACTATGGTTGGTAGGGCTGACTCGCCGAATAGCCTCCTAGTGGTGCTAGCTGGGAAGTTCGGGAATTTCCCGTTCCAGCGAATGGTTCGGTAGCAGTGTTCCAGGACGTGGTGGATTTTCGCCTGGCAAGCGTTCTCCCTATAAAAAGCCACAAATGTCCGTTTAACAACACTGCGACGTGGCGGAGGTGACTCGCTTCTAAATAAAGTCACTGCCCTTTGTTTCCTTTGGAGACATTTGTACAAGGGCAAACAATCCGAGCATCGGATCTTGTCTCTGACTTCGGGAGCGTTGGGCCCCTGGCATGACTTAAGGTAATCCGAAAGACATATCAACTGAGTGTCTAGTCACCGGCTCCCAAAGGGTGCGAATCCCTCATCTCGCCCTGCTGTCTTGTGGGTTAGACCCTTTGGCCAAAGACTCTGGGCAGTGGTCCTCAAGGACAATCTACCTACCTCGGCCTAGGCAACCGGGTAGTATCTCGCCTACTGACGAACCACGAACTTCAACTACAACTATTCACACGCTCACTTGCTGCTACGATGCTATTCACTCCTGCTACTGTGCCAACTGCACAAGCACAGGCCACCACTTTACCTACCCTTCCCAAGTACCACTCACATCCATTTTTACCTGATTCCTCTATGGTGATCAACCCCATCTCCACCGATGATCCTATTCCTGTGACATCTACCAACTCAAGCACAGTGCTGCCAGTCCCAAAGTCTCCCATTTTCGCTCCTGCAACCCGGAACGCATTAAAAACTTGCAGTCTGCAACATAAGCACGTTACTGCCGACAGATCAGCAAGCTGGATTTGCACACAGGCTATCGACCCTTGAAATTGATGTCTGCTGCCTGTGAAACGCGACTCCAGGACCCCAACTCGGCCTACTAACTGGCGTCAATGCTCTAACCAAGCACCCGCTTCCATCTCTGTCTTTTTGGTGACGCCGAGTCTGCTGCAACTGGTGTTGGAATCGCCCTCAGTGCTAGAGCCGAGACTGCTCTGATTGATTGGATTCCGATCAATAGTCGCCATTGTGCGATGAGGCTCCATGGCTCTTGTAAAGTTAGCAGACGCCGAGTCGAAAAGCGCTCTTTCTTCGTGATCTCTGCCTACGCGCCCGCCAACTGTAGCTCGGACATAGTCAAAGACCAGTTCTACCAGAACCTTCAAGAGATGCTCCTAAGGCTCCTAAAACAGACATCAGTGTTTTGGTAGGAGACTTCAACGCGCGTGTCGATCGGCTGCTGCCACGTGAGCGCCACCTCAGTGGACCGTATGGATACGATCTTCGCTGAGACAACGGAGAGAGACTGCTCAGTCCGTGTGCTGATCATCAGCTTTTCCTCTCCAGCACTAGCTTTCGTCATCCTGGACGTCAGTACGCCAATTGGCGCCCCTCATTATCAACCTAACACTGGTCACAGATTGACCACATGGCCATAAGTCGCAGGTGGCTTGGCAGCGTACGCGACTGCCGAACAGTTTGGTCGACATGTGTCGATACCGATCATGCACTGGTATGTGCAACCGTTTGCATGCGTTTTGATGTTTCACCTAGGTACAAACACACCCGATTGAACACTTACAAGTTATAGGACACAATGGTAAAGAAGGAGCATCAACAAAGGCTTCGTGAAAATCTCGCTCTCTCCCACTCTGGATGTTGATTAACACTGGGCAAGTCTGCAACAATCCTTGTTGTCGGCCGGCATGTCCAGCTGTGGCCTCACTCGCTCCACTCCCAAAAGCTGGATCTCGGCAAGATGCTCGGAATTGCTGGATCGCCGACGGGCGGTGCCTGTTGGCGCAGGGTACAACGTAAACCGCCGGCCTATTATGCAACAGCCGAAAGTAAGACTTCGCTCTGATCGTGAATCTTGGTGGTCAAAACAAGCTGATGAGATGAAAGCTGCTGCATCGGCTGGCAACTTCCGCCATCTATCTTGAATCATCAGGGCAACCGAGTGCGATTACCACGCTATCAGCTAGACGATTTGCGAATCAGAAGGCACGAAAATCACCAAGCTTCACAGGCAATTGGGTCACTGGGCCGAGCATTTCGCTCTTCAATTCAACCACCCAACACAGCCCCCTGTGGCACCTTTAGCCTCAATGGATGATGCATGGTCTGTCTCTACAGCCCCCCCCCCCCCAATGAAGCAGAGATCCGCGATGCAATCCAATCTTTGAAACGCCACAAGGCTCCGGGTCTCGGGACTGTTTACTGAAGAAAGGTGTGCCCGACAAGTTTGTAACCATCCTGAAAGTAGTTTACAGTCACACGTCGGGCAAAGTTAGGGCTTATGGCACGCACTCCTCTTCATTCGCTGTGACCAGCGGTGTTCGCCAAGGTTGTCCTATTTCACCTTTCCTCTTCAATTTCGCCATCGAAGATGTTCTACAAAGAGCACTGGAAGGTGTCCGGAACTGCGGTGTTGAGATCCTCCCTGGAGACAGAGTCACGGACTTGGACTACGCCGATGATTTCGCCTTACAGGGGGACGACCCACAAACCGTCCAGAGCGCTTTGGACCGCTTAGCGATGGAGGTGTCTAAATACGGCTTACGCTTCACCCCGGGAAAAAGTAAAACGCTGCTCCAGGAATGGCAGGTGTCCGAACCCGCGCTCACCATTGCTGGACATGTCCTGGAGCAAGTCCCTAGCTTTACTTATCTAGGGCGTTGCATCACGGCTGGTGGCGGTGTTGGAGATGAAGTCACACAACGGATTGCAAAGGCCTGCCTTGCATTTATCGAAATGAGACACCTATGGCGCCGTCGTGATGTTAGTCTCAAGCTCAAGGGCACAGTGTACAATGCTTCCGTCAATGCAGTACACGTGTGCGGCTGTGAGACTTGGCCTATTCGCTCGGAAGACATAAAGCGGCTAAAAGTCTTCGACAATCGCTGTCTACGTAAGATTGCTCGGGTGTGGTGGCAACACCACGTAAGCAACGCAGATGTCCGAGACCGAGTGCTTGGAACAAGTAGTTCCAGTCTTCAGAATGTTATTTTCCGACATCACATGCGTTGGGTCGGGCACGTTTTGTGCATGCCAGCTCATCGCCTTCCACGTCGAGCGCTACTTGCAGTCCCAGGGAGCGAGTGGAAAAAGTGCCGCGGTGGACAGCCAATGACGTGGAGGAGAATGAAGAAGGCAACCTCAAGTTTGACGGCAGTCGGATCAGTCCGTCTTCTAGGTTGCAGACCACGAGATGTTGAATCTCACTGGTTGGAAACATTGGATGTCATAGCCACCAAACAGACATCAGTGGCGTCAATGTTGTTCTGCCATTTTATCCCCCCTTTAATGCACACAAAAAGAACGAAACAAAAAGAAAAAATGAATGGCGTGTGCGAAACTAAAAGAAATTCGTTTTCTATATTTAATCGCATTTACTGTTTCCATTTTCTTTATTGTTCGGCAATGCTTCTGATGGCACTGCGTCTGTTAACAGACCTTGTCCTCACATTTTCTTGTCAACAGTACAGCTGCCAAGCATATATATATATATATATATATATATATATATATATATATATATATATATATATATGGTTGGCGGCATCCGGTTTCGGATTTGCCTGTCACTGTGGCCAGCCACAGGACGCCTGCGCCTACAGAGGGAACATGGGAGGCTTGCGCTGCACCACCCACAGCTCCAACCACACACCCCATATCCAGTGTAAACCCGAAGGAATAAGACCGGGAGGCATGTGGATGGGAGCCACGTTTCATCAACGGAGCCGGCCCACACTCCTTCACAGGCAAACACAAGCACGCTGTATTTGGGGAATCAAGCGCACACAAGGCGGTGGCTGGACCGTAGTCCGCTCCACACTGAGTGCATGGAACCACTCTTCGAGCCTAGCACGGCCACAAGGACCGTGCACTCTGTCCCCTCCAGCAACGACCAACTGTCTCCTGGAGCCAGTATGGACGAGGTAGTGGGTAATAGACAGGTAGGCACCTTGTCAACATGCACATCAAGCGCAGCCACACCGGGGATAGCACGCAACAGCCAATCACTTGAAACGACAAAATGAAATAAAATAAATCCAATAATGCATACAGATACGGTGGCATAACTCTTCGCGAAATTAGTATATGAAGTAAGCTGGCTAGTAATGAATCCGCAATAAGGAAAAAATGTCCACAAGTTACTCCAAAATGCTACAAACACAACAAAATTACCGAAGATAAGCGCAATTAGCGTAAGCGACGTGGCCAGCTAATAGAAGACTATTCAGATAGGCAAAACTAACCAAATAAAGTGGAATGAAATTTATGCAGCTTAAAGAGACCTAGTTTAAGTGTAAGTTGGTTTAGCCCAACTGCGGTGAGGAAGCATCAAGAATGCAACATCAGCCTCAGCATGGGGCACTCCCCACATACATACATACATGGTTAGCGGCATCCGGTTTCGGATTTGCCTGTCACTGTGGCAAGCCACAGGACGCCTGCGCCTACAGAGGGACCATGGATGGCTTGCGCTGCACCACCCACAGCTCCAACCACACACCCCATATCCAGTGTAAACCCGAAGGAATAAGACCGGGAGGCATGTGGATGGGAACCACGTTTCATCAACGGAGCCGGCCCACACTCCTTCACAGGCAAACACAAGCACACTGTATTTGGGGAATCAAGCGCACACAAGGCGGTGGCTGGACCGTAGTCCGCTCCACACTGAGTGCATGGAACCACTCTTCGAGCCTA